AGAGCTAAGAAACTTTGTAACACTGCCAACTAGAGGCTTGAAAATATTTTATTTCCCTGTGAGCAGACAAAGCTGAGAAAGAAAGACTCTTTTTCAAGGACATTGCTATTTGATAAGATAGAGGGAAGAGCATGGAAGAGTATTATTGCAGGTGCTCTTCTGGGTTTCTATCAACTGCTGGAGTCTGGTGTTGAAATCTTGGGGGGGGGGAAGGTGATAAGTTTTTGAAGAGAGCTATAATAAGAGCCTTGGATAATTAAACAAAGTGCAGTGTGCCCTTTTTACTTTTTCTAAGTTGTGCTATCCCTCCTCACCAGCTTTATTGTATTTCATTTTATCTTTTTCTCTTGTAATAACTATATGGGTTTTTGGCTTCATTGGAGCTTGTCTTTGTTTTTCTTTTTTTCTTTGAAAGTCCAATCTCTACGTTTGCTTTTTATTTTAAAGGGAAAGCCTTAAAAGCCTTTTTTTTCCTTTCCTGTATTTTTGTTTTTTCATCTACCTTTCTGGTTTATTTTCATGCACTCTTTTCTATTTGAGACCTTTCAATTGGATTAACATGTTGAAGAACCTGAAGAATTTTTCCTTTTCCTTTTTTTTTCTTTTTTTTCCTTAAGACTTTTTCTTCATCTAACTATTGATTGGATTAAGGTATACAAGAACCTGAAGAAATTTTGTCCTCCTTTTTTTTTTCTTTTTTTTAAAATCATTATTACTGGACTTCTTTTTTCTACTATTTTTATTTTGAACTATAATTGGTTACTTCACAATTGGATTAAGGTTTAGAAGAACCTGAAGATTTTGAATTGCTTAAAATGAGTAGGAAATTTACAGCTCCTGGTTCTTCAACTTCTACTTCTTCCTCTCCACCATCCAGAGGACAATGTTCAATACAGACAATGTTAAAGCAAGAAAAAGAACAAGAAAAAGTGACTCTGCAGATAATTATGCAAGGAATTCAAAATATTCAAGCAAGATCAGAGAATATTGAAGAGAATAGAGAACACTGAACAAAGAACAGAGAACATTGAACAAAGAACAGGGAAAACCGATGGAAAAAGTGGAGAACATCCAACAAATGATGTTGAAGTATGATGAGAGATTCCAAAAAATTGAAGAAGAAGATAAACAAAGAGATAAGAAGATTGGAGATATTGATAATAGATTAACGGTGGTTGAACAAGATAAAAGTGGTATGTTGAGATGGGAGATGGATAGATCAGAATTTTATCTTAGATTTCAAAACGTACAGGAAGAAAAAGGACAAAACTTAGCTGAGATAATGATAGAAATACTGGCTGAAGCTTTGGAAATAACTCAAGAGAAGATGATGGATGGAATAGATGAGGTTTATCGAGTTTTCACAAGATATGCGATGAGAAATAGCTTACCAAGAGAAGTTCACATTAAATTTACAAAGAAAGCCATTAAGACGCAAATATTGCAAGTGGCAAAAGAGAAAATATTGAAATACAAAGACAAGGAGATTGTGGTCTTGAAACAAATACCCAGAAGAGTGAGAGAGAAGAGAAGAGAATATTGATTCTTGACTAAAATGCTACTTAAAAAAGAGGTGAATTATAGATGGCTGATTCCAGAAGGTTTAATGTTCACATGGCAAGAACAGAGACACAGAACTGACTCAATTGAGAAAGCGGAATTATTTTATACAGAATTTTTTGGAGGGAAAGAGGAAGAGGCAGAAAAAGAGATCTCACTAATTGAATTTCAAGAAGACTGCCAAATGGCGACTGAAAAAGAAGAAGGTGCAGTAGGTGGAAAGGTGGAAGCCAAAGAACAACGTGAACTAAGATCTACGAGAGCTGCTAAACCTAACTATAAAATATAACCATGGAAGAGAAAAAAATTGATTACAATTAATATAAATGGACTTAACTCAGCCGTTAAAAGAAGGAAAACCTTTCACAAATTAGAGAAATTAAAATTTGATATAATTTGTCTACAAGAAGTACATATTAAAAAACAATATGAACAATTGTTGGTACAGCCAAAATTAGGGAAAATATTTACTTCCTTGACACAATGTAAGAAAAGAGGAGTGGTTTTATATATTAAAGAGACCACCCCAGCAAAATTGATTTATACCGATGATGGTGGAAGAATACTAATGGTGGAAATAATGGACAATAATATGAAAACACTCCTGATTGCAATTTATGCTCCGAATGACAAACAAGAAGAATTCTACAAAAAAATTACATAAGAAAATAATCGAACTGGACTATGCTAATATAGTTATGATGGGAGATTTTAATGGAATTGTAGACAATAAATTGGACTATACAGCACAGAAAACAATAAAGCAAAACAGAAAGACTCTCCCTAAATCTTTTTTTAAAATGGTAGATGAAATAAACTTAAAAGATACATGTAGAGAAAGAAATGCTAAAACTAAACAATACACCTTCTATTCAAATAGACACTTATCATGGTCCAGAATAGATATGATATGGATGTCAACAGAATTAATAACTAATATTCAAGAAATAAATATTGAAACAAGTACTTGGGCAGATCACAATCCAATGACAATTAAATGGAAAGGACAAAAAAGAAGATCTAGATGGACGTTAAATAATACTATTTTAAAGGAAAAAGACTTCACACAGTGGATGGAGAAAGAATTGGCTTTTTTCTTTAGAGAAAACAAAAGAGAAGACACATCAATTCAGAATGTATGGGATACAATGAAGGCATATGTTAGAGGCTTGATAATAGACTATACAAGGAAAAGGAATACTATGAAAAGACTAGCCTCTAAGGCCTTAGAGGATGAGCATAAAAGACTTCAAAAAGAGCTACAGAAAATGCCACAGAAAAAGGACATCAAGCTAAAAATGGATATAATTAAACACAAAATGGGTCAAATAGAAAAAGAAGAATTAGCACAGAAAATTAGAGGTGCTAAACAGAACTACTTTGAAGACGCAAACAAACCAGGTAGATGGTTAGCATACAAATTGAGAAAGGAGAAAGAATCAAGGAAAATATTGCAATTAATAGATGATCAAGGCCAAGTTTGCCATGGTAGTAAAGAGAAGAAGGAAATCATTCGAGACTTCTATGGGAAATTATATACGCAAGAGAATATTGATGAGGAAAGAGTTAAACAGTACTTACAGAATGCTAATTTACCTCAGATACCTAAAGAGACTGAAAAAATGTTAGAAAGCAATATAACGATGATGGAGTTAACTGAAGCACTCAAGAAGCACAATAATGGAAAGGCACCAGGCCCAGATGGACTTCCGGCAGAATTTTATAAAACATTACAAGAATAATTGAATCTTCCATTGCTAGAAGTTATGAATGAAGTTATGTTAAGAAGAAGATACCTAAATCATGGTCAGAAGCCTATATTACACTTATTCCAAAAGAGGAGGACGACCCATTACAAATTAAGAACTATAGACCCATTTCTCTACTAAATGCAGATTATAAAATTTTTGCTTCAATATTGGCAGAAAGACTTAAAAATATTTAAATAATTTTATCCATCCTGATCAAAATGGATATCTGCCAAAGAGACAAATTAAAGACAATATGAGAGTAATCTTGGATACCATGGAATACTACGAGGCACATCCTGAAAAACAAATGCCTCTGATATTTCTAGATGCACAGAAGGCATTTGATAATGTGAATTGGCGATTCATGTTATTACTGTTGGAACAGATGGGTTTTGCTAGAAAATTTATTCAAGCAATAGAAGCTATATACTATAAGCAAACGGCAAAGGTAATGATAGAGGGAGAACTGACAGACTCTATCAATATAAGTAAAGGAATAAGACAAGGGTGCCCACTATCACCTTTGTTGTTTGTGTTAACTTTGGAAGTGCTAAACAGAAATATTAGAGATGAAAAGAATATAAAAGGAATGAAAATCAAAAAGGAAGAATTTAAGCTGCAAGCATTTGCAGATGATCTGGTTTTCATCTTAGAAGACCCTTTAGAAACAGCATCAAAATTGATAGAAAAGATAGAGACATATGGAAAGGTGGCTGGTTTGAAAATAAATAAAGATAAGACAAAGATCTTGACAAAGAATATGCTATTAAGACAAAAGGAAGAACTGGCAGACCTATTGAAAATTCAGGTCACGAATTAGATCAAGTACTTGGGGATATATTTGACAGCAAGATGTAGTACATTAAAAGAGAATAATTATATCAAACTTAAACAGCAGATAGCGCTAGATCTGACAAAATGGGAAAATTTACAACTGTCACTAATAGGGAGAATTTTAACAATCAAGATGAATATATTACCCAGAATTTTATATTTTTTTCAAACAATTCCAATTAGGCTTGGAAAAGACTACTTTGAAGATCTAAATAAAATTGTGTTGAAATATATATGGCAAGGTAAGAAAGCGAGAATAAAGTTGAAACTTTTGCAAGATGCTAGAATTAGAGGAGGATTTGGTTTGCCTAATTGGGAGTTGTACTATCAAGCTACAAATCTGATGTGGGTTAAGGAATGGATAACACTAAGAAATACTAGATGGTTGACATTAGAAGGACATGATTTGTTGTTGGGGTAGCATGCTTTTTTATGGTATAAAGGAACTAAAACACGGGTATTTTAGAAGACATTATATACGGGAGTCTCTGTGGTTAAATTGGGAGAAGATTAAAAGACAATGTTATTTGAAAATTCCAGTCTGGTTATCGACTGTTGAAGCATTTTCTTATCCTATAATATACAAAAAGGAACAAACAGTTAGATATGGTGAAATATTGAATGAAAAGGGTGAACTCAAATCTGTACAAAAACTAGAGGAACAAGGTATAAAGATGAATTGGTTTTCATATGCGCAAATACATTCAAGGTATGATAAAGATTCTAAAATGGAAGGTTTCTATGATAAGTTGACTGATTTAGATAAGATTTTGACAGGTACTGATGAAAAGGTGATAAATGTGTATCAACTTGAGCACCATAAATAACTTCTAGACTTTTATTTCTTAATTTCAGATGCTGCAGCAGGGAATGGAGTACTAACAAAAGCCACAGTTCCTATTTACGCAACAGGTGTACTTACATGTTATATCCAGGTAAAACCTGTTCTTCAATTATGAAATTATGGAAAAGACATGGAAAAGACAATAATTATCTATTTAAAACTTCTAAATAAAAAAGTCATTAAGTCAAAGAATACTTCCGCTTTTCCTTAGATCCTAAATTATATTACTTTCCAAAGTGTATAGAAAGAAATTTCAACCTTCCTTCTATGGCTACTTCTGAATAAAATTTTTCCTCTATTTTTTTGCCTTTATTAACCTTGCACACTCCATCTCACCTATCAAAAATGTCAACTCTAAATGTCAAGAGATTTTGGGTGGTGGGGCGGTGAATGCAGATGACTGGAATAGAAAACTTGTTATTTTCTAATAGGGACTTCATTTCTTTAAAAAATATACAATGTTATTACCACCAAAGTCCTTTCCCCTTCTAATTCAAGGGAAAAAACCTTGAAAACTTATATTTAACTTTTTATCATGCAAAGTTAGATTTCACCAGTACTCCAATAAAGTATCACTATTTTCAGTATTATAAAATGAATGCATTAATATTTTCAGTATTCCTTTTAGTAAAAGGAACAGAATTAGATCAAGCCATTAGTTATACAAGCATACAATAATCCCTGTTTGTTTAATTGTGAACTTTGGAATTTGATATAAGCTGCAGGGAGGGTTCGATCATTATTTCATATTTTCATTTTAATAGAGAAGTGGCCAAATCCGTATACAATTTCAAAACTTAACTAAAAATTAAGGTTGGCTAGAATGACAAATATAGCAGAAGAATCTAAGTCAAAATGAAGTATTCAGTATTGTAGGAATATGCCTTGAGAAAGAACAGTAGATGCATAAGTATTGTTGTTCATAGCATGTAGTAGTTGCTAGTTTGCATGCATTGTACATGTTTTCACACTTTAAGGATATAGTTACTATAATCTATATTTATTTAACTGATGATTCAGTAAAAATACTGATTTCATTGGTTGTGGTTCTCTGACTAATGATTTGGTATTACATGACAGGGAATAGACATCCTATCCCATTTTAGAACAAAGTGCTGAGAGTCAGGACAGTATCTCCTGATCAAAGGGCACAGTTGAGCCATGGGTCCCAAAATATTAATAGGTTTCCTATAGTTAAAATCTTAATATGGTCCAGTTCTTGATAATATGACACAAAATTTAAATTTATGTTTTTAAACCTTTACTTTCAGGAAGAAGATCGCAAGCTGTTAGTAGGATTTTTAGAAGATGTCATGACTATGCTTTCATTATCTCACGCTCCCCTTGATAGCCTAAAAGCATCTTTTGTGGAATTAGGGTAATGTATATTCTTGAAACTGGTATAAAGGGGCAATTGTTTACATACAACTTCAGATATAAGAATTTAATATCAAAGATTTTGGAATTCTGTTCTTAAACATTTGCATTATAGCATTATAAAGCTATAATCTATGTGTCTACGGGACAGGAATGCTGTTACGTTTTGTGACATTTTTCCATCAAAAAATGGCAGAGTGTCTTACAGTCTTTAGTGCTCTGACATACAGTAGCAATATTATCAGATTATCTTGTAATTAGTTGGAGAAAAAGCTTATATGTTAGCTTCAGAACCATAATAAACCAATTTGATAATTAGTACAAATATATATTTTAATTTAAAAAGATACTGAAAATATTGTTGGAAATTTGCAGTGTCAGATCAGCCTGCTACATGACACCAATATTTGAACTCTCCTTGTTCATGTAGTCCATACAGTATACATCTAGTCCTCAACTTACAACCACAATTGAACCCAAAATTTTTGTTGCTAAGTGAGAACATTTGTTAAGTGAGTTTTGCCCCATTTTACGGGTTTTGTTGGCACAGTAGTTAAGTGAATCACTGGAATTGTTAAGTGGGTAACAGGTTTGTTAAGTGAATCTAGCTTCCTCATTGAGTTTGCTTGTCAGCAAAAGATGATCACATAAGCCAGGGACACTGCAACCATCATAAATGTGAACCAGCTGTCAAGCATCCAAATATAAATCACATGACCATGGGAATGCTGCAGTGGTCATAAGTGTGAAAAATGGTCATGTCATTTTTTTCAGTGTCATTGTAACTTCGAACTGTCACTGAGTGAACTGTTGTAAGTCAAGAACTATCCGTAAATGGTAACATTTGGGATAGTCAAATGTTTGCTCTAAAGTGCTCCTACTCTAAAAATATACTTTTGGGGATAAATGTGGTTAAACATGAATAACTGCAGGCACTTTGCTTTTGTTCAGACTGATTCAGGTTAGCTGAGAAATTTGAGAAAATATTTGAGGAGAGAAGGAAAGTGCAAAATAAGTGGAGTTGTTTGAAAGCAAATTACAATTTATAGCTCAGATCTTATTGTTTTGTGTTCTCAGGGCAAACCCAGCATACCATGAATTGCTGCTAACTGTATTATGGTACGGAGTTGTCCATACTTCAGCACTTGTTCGATGTACAGCTGCCAGAATGTTCGAGGTAAGTGTTTATTAAACATATTTTAGATATTACTAATTCTATTCCCTCCAGAAATATTGGTTACCCTTCCCTGTGCCTATCACCATTTAATTCCTTTTTTCTCAAAGACTCTAGATGTGAGACAGAGGTGTAGCCTTACAGTCAAGAGGATATGGTATGGGGCTTCAGAATACATCAATTTTTAAAGAGGATACCAGTTATGTTAAAAAATATTGTCAGGGAAAATAATAATTTATCTGATCTAATATATTTAGATTCCTAAAAGTACATTTTAATATTATACGCTGTTCTAAAGTATTTTAAAGTAGTTGTGGACTGTGTGATGGAGCAGGATGTTAATCCTATAGTTTGAAATGAATTTTTCATCATTGATTTCTTTTTCTAAAGTATTGCTATGTTACATGTGTTTGTGAAACATTTCAGGGGAACAGGCCAAATTAGATTTTTATTTCCGACCTGAATTGGTGCATTGCTTGCTTAAAAATTTCTGTTAGCTCTGAGAAATCATTTCAGTGTTCAAACCAGCCATCAATTGTAAATACCTTGTGAATTGGACAGTAGCTATAAAAATGTACAATTGCTTCTAATGATAACATCTGAAATTGCCTGTATTGTGATTAAAAATAAATATTAAATAAGGAAAAGAACAGCATTCTTTTCTTGTTTTGCTTGATATTGCTGGTAGCCAGAACTGAAAGAAAGGGGGTTAAAAAAAAATTCACGTATGGTTCCTGATCTAACCATGCAGCAAACTGTTCAAGCTGCAAAATGGAGATACTAGTTTTCAGCTTTGTATCAGATTATCCACTTGTTACTCCTCAGTTTTTACCAATGTCACTTTAGTAGTACCTTGAAAATTCTAATGGGAAGATAAGGCCATGCCTTTAATGAATAGATATGACTGTTTGGAGCATTTTCATGTTTTAAAATAAATCTTTTTACCCTGACCAATACATATGGGGCCATCTTGGCCATTTTCCCTACAGGCACAAAGATCTTAATTTTAAGAATTTATAGCAATACAGTTCAAGATAAGAAATTAAATAGAAATGTTAGCAATGTGTTGCTTGCACATAAGAGGCTTCTAAAGGCCATTTAAATCTTAAAAAATATTGCAAGTGACAAAGCATATAAGGTTAAAAACAGGATTTATTTTGTTTTGCCACATATTTTTCTCATAATAAGTTGACCTCATTTGAGAGTATTGGGAACTCAACCTTTACTTGAATTGTATTTATGTTTTCAAATACACCCAGAGGCTAGTCTGTATTATTATTTTGTGAGACTCTTTCCTCACCTAACCTTCTTTTTTTAATGACAATTGTCGAATGGAGAAAATGGCTAAATGTGCCAATAAATTTTTCTAGTTTACTTTTTTTTAAATTGTGCTATAAGTGCTAATTCCTATGCCAGATGTATTTCTTTTTATAATTCAGCTGAAATAGCAACAATATACATCTATAATTAGCTCTAATATGGTTATATAAAGGTTTAATTGGGTAGTGACAAAGTGCAAGTATTTGATGTTGGTCTAAACTAACATGCTGTTTTTGACTTAGTTTTCCGTTTTGCTCTGTATGTTTGTGTGTGCTTGCATGTCATGCATTAATATTAAATTGAACATAATCTTGAGTGCTGTCTGTTGATCTAAATTTGATCCTGGTTTGAACACTATCCATGCACAGTAAGGACATCAACTTGAATCTCTGTTGTAGTACATAAGTTAAAACCATGGGTGGGCATTGATTCTCTATTACCTATTACCTGCTGAGTTTAAAGTTTTGCAGGACTAAGTAGCTCATTATCTGGTATAGCCAGGCATTTATAATTTTATGCAAGAGTACTGATTCAAGTTCTATTAATGTAAATTAATTATACTTTTAGTTACTAGATATCCTGAAATTGTACTCTTGTTTTTTAAATTAAAATATGTTAATGTTCTACACAAATGTTATAATATAAAAGCAAAAACTGTACAAGACTGAAGTCAGCCCACCCCTGGTTTATAACAAGACAAGTAATCATTGTGGCTTCCTATCAATAAATCCTACTGTTATATCTTAAAATCAAAATATGTTCTAAAATGAGAATCTAGGGTCTCATTATCTTCTTATTATTAGCTCAAGCTTCTTTTTTATGTTCTTTTTATCTTAGGTATACATGCACTAAGTAATTAAAAGCCATGGTTAGGATTAAAAACTTTTATTTTTTAAAAAAAGCTGATGAAATACTCTTAATGATTAGAAATCAGAATCGTGCATTGTTTGGATTTCCAATAAAATGTTTCCCAACCTCCTATCCTTTACAATTATACCTTACAGAATCCCTGACGCTATAGACATTCTTCATACAGAAACACAGACAATTAAAATCAAGGTTATACACTTTTTCAGAGCAGGATGGTTTGCTTCTGGGATTAAAATATTCCAACACACCTGAGTTTGCTGAGTCAGGTTTTCATGCTCAAATGCCAGCCCCAGGCCAACCCTAACAGAATTTGTTGCCATTTTCTACATGTTTACCGACATGTTTATCTTTTAATAGTGACATTAGAGCTCAGTTTATGCTCACAAATCACAAGAACTGTTTTGGAGTTCTTAGTTATCTGTTCTTCATATGGAATCAGGGTTTGTTTGTTTTTTCATTTAACATTCACATTCCTATGTTTGACACATTCCTATGTTTCAGAATAACTCAATTTCTTTTGTGGAGCTATAGCAAGGTAGCCATAATGGACCTTTATAAACTTCAAACATTACTTTAAAATGTAAACACTAATATTCAGGATACTGTCAGGATCTTTTGTTGTCTTAACAGCTCTGTAGTTGGTCACTGTTGCCTGCTTGGACCACTTAACACTTTCATCTTGCCTTCTGCCTAGTTATATTAAAAGAGCACTTTAGCGTAGCTGTACTTGCTTCTAATTTTGGTTTGCCTTTTGTGTTTCTCTTCCTCTTGGTTACGCTGTTCTTCCCATGATATTGTGCTCACTTTTTCTGCGCATCACCTGTGATAAACCCCTCTGCTCTGCCCACTCAGCTGTTGGTGAAGGGGGTACATGAAACTCTGGTAGCTCAGAGAGTGGTTCCTGCTCTCATTACTCTCTCCAGTGACCCTGAAATGTAAGTTTCCCCAACTGTCTTCTACAACTAGCTCCCTCTTACAACTTGTCAAGAAATAAACCACCAGAATGCATTTGTTAATATTCAACTATTTTTTTTAAAAAAATTACTAAGTATTAAATATACTCAATATCTTTAACAACTAAAAGACTTAAGTACTTTATTCTTACAAGCAAGCTCAAACTTATTCGAAATTCTAACTAGTAAAATAGTTGGAAGAATAATGCAACCTTAAATCCTTAATTCTTTCTGAAACAAAACTATTATAACTTTTATAGTTAAATAATAAAGTGTCTGAATATGTTTCAGATGTTATCATACTGCTGTTTGTTTCTTCCATGCTGAAGAGGGATGCTAATTTCACTAATACATGACTGCCAGTAAATGTTAAAGCATGAGAAGAGTCCTTACTTATTTTAATGCCCCGTGTGGGTGACTAAACTTAGAAAGACTGGTGATTCTGCCTGCCCATCCTCAGTCACAGCTAACTTAGTTATCCTTCCAGTTTAAAACCATTTTTATTGCATGTTGACTGGTTTACAGCTGACTCTTCGAGGCATGCGTGAAGCCTTAGTTGACAAGCGGGTTGCTCCGGCCCTTGTTACCTTGTCCAGTGATCCTGAATTGTGAGTTTCTGAATGTGACCTTGAATTAATCTTTCTGTGTCTTTCTATTTTTTTTAATTTTGATACTACTTCCTGGTCTAATTCCTGTCACTGCTAGCAATTAATACCTTAATGGAGTTTCAAAATTAGTATTCTATTTTTAATTAAACATTTATTTTACTGTTAAGAGCCGAGTATCTGTTTTGCTTTGTTTTGCTCCTAGCTCTGTAAGAATAGCCACAATTCCTGCTTTTGGGACCATCATGGAAACAGTCACTCAGAGAGAGGTAAGATTTCTGTGTATTGTACTAGGATATTCCCAGTTTGTAATCACTAACTATTTGAACTCTGTTAAAAAGAAGATATCTGGATTGGTTAAAGTTTTAATTAAAATGAGCAACTTTTCATTCCAGAAAGTTATTTACAACAATGTGCAGTACAGGTACTCTTTGTTTTGCAACCACAATTTGCCATGGCAAAGTGATTGCTAAGTGGTTGCTTACAATCCTACTTCAGCTCATAAATGCAAAAATTAGTCATAAAGTTATTTTTTTATTACTGTTGTAACTGCAAATGTTCACAGTACAATTCAGTACATTCAGAAGCAAAGATGGAAAACTGGCTGCATGTGGCCATAAAACCCTTAAGCAAGAAGTAGCTGTATACATGCAGTTTTATCCCACTGATGGAGACACAATCAAGATAGCAAGGTCCTTGTCTCCATTTTGCCATACACCAAAGAGATTTTGTCTTTATCTTCTTTTGCCTATACTCAGCACCCATCACATAATTCGCCTCCTCATACTTCAGCTCTTGATGGAATCCCTCTAAGTTGTAAATGGAGTACATAATTAAAAAGGGGGAAATTATATGTGATGATGATTTCATGTACTCTAATCTTCATCCCAATCACACTCTGCATTGTTCACAAACAGTTTGGTGGCCTGCTTGGAGCAGTAAGTATTCATTTAATTAGCTGATTTCTATAGTCACCCATCTTGCATATCAACTTTGGGCAGCTACCAACACATTAAAAGCAATAAAAAGCAAGAGCAAAAGTATAAAAACCTTTAATGGTCATAAACCCAATTAACAATAATACCATGCTCTTAAGTACATCTTGGGCTTCAGGGCTTGCTGAAAGCCAGCAGGGTTGAAACAAATCTAATCCTCATGGGAATGTTGTTCCATGCCCACATTTCAGACTTAGTGGGATAACTAGAACTAATGAGGGACATATAAATAATCCATCCCCATGCCATGAAGGGTTTCATAGGTGACTACCAGCATTTTGAATTCCAACCACAAACCCTGCGAGCTGGTGCAGCTTATGGAGCAGAAGTGTAACATGGCATATCAATGCCTATAGCTCCCTAAACTGCCACATTCTGGACCAGTTATAGCTTCTCAATAATCTTCAAGGACAGCCCCATGTAGAAAACATTGCAATAATCCATTCAGGAGGTGACTAGGGCATGAGCGACCATGAAAGTCCAGGAAAGAGTTCCCTCCTGGCTATGGCTATCACTTGCCCTTCAAATAGGACTCCTGGGTTCATGAGGACCCGAGACCCCCCATTGTATACTAGTTCTGTTTGATATTGTACAGCTACATTCAGAAGCAAAGATGGAAAACTGGCTGCATGTGGCCATAAAACCCAAAGTCACTTAAGTCATGCTAGGATTGAGCTGAAGCTTATTCTTTACTAAACGTAGTCACCGAACCAGTAGTAACACCCGTTGAATCCCACCCCTGGTGCAAACTCCTTGCTATCTGGTCATTTTTTCAAATCTTGTTTTCATGATAAAAAGATTAGCCTATGTATAATAGTTATTAAAATCTTGAAATAGTAAAGAAAGGGCACCAAATTCTGACATTGCAAATAAATGAAAATAAAAAATATTGTAATTATTACTGCATGTGTCCAGAATTGCTGTTGTGCTTTTTCAAAGCCACTCTTTATATTCAGGTTTATAGGCTAATAATATACATAATATAGAAGGGAAAAATAGAACGACCAAAGAATATGAACTTCCAGCCTATTTTTGATAAAGTTAACTTGGAAGAGAGAGACTTCTTTTAAATGCTCTGCCGTATTATGCAGTCGAGGAGGATGGTAGAGCATGGTTACATAGACTATAGTTTTTATATCTTAAATTTCATTTCATAACATGCTCAGCAAAAAAATCATTGAATGGGAAGCCCATATTTTCAAAAACTTGCGAATTAACAAATAAAGCTGTTTCTAATGGTGAAAAAATATAGCAGAGTTTGCATTTGTATAATTTCAGACTGTTCCTTATTTTCTAAAATAACATAGTAGAGGAAATGGAACTGAACATTTGTACTGAGTCATAGCTGTGTGCTGAATAAGTAGTAATAGGTTATTTTAAATACACATTTGTACTATGGAGTTAATTACATATTGATGTTTTGTTGGGGTTAATGGAATCTAGAACTTTGAAAATGGGCATTCAAGAGACTTTATTCAGCATCATTTTTTTAAAGTGCATACATTTTAGAGAAGGATTTTCTACAAAGGAGATGTTGAGGATGAGTTTTGATTAAGAGATAAAAGTATTAATGTTAGGATTTTTTGTAACAAATCTGATAATGTTAAAGTCAAGTAACAAGTAAAATGTTAAAAGTGAAAAGTTTTAACAAGTAAAATATTAAAAGTTATTTACTTTTGAGTGTTATTAATTTTTGCTTATTTCTCCAATAAAGTTTTCATATCTTATAAATTATGTTTACTTTTAAGCTTTTGGAAAGAGTCAAAATGCAGTTGGCCTCTTTCCTGGAAGATCCCCAATACCAAGACCAACACTCTCTACACACAGAAATAATAAAAACCTTTGGAAGAGTCGGTCCAAATGCTGAGCCAAGATTTAGAGATGAATGTGAGTTTGAATAACAAACATAAAGACATCTGTTTTTCAGTTTGTGAACAATTATAGTTTATGCTTTCACACTTTGGTAATGTTATTATCATTTTTTTCCAAATATTCCTCTTTCCAGTTGTTCTTCCACATTTGCATAAACTTGCCTTGGTTAATAACCAGCAATCCGCAGACTCAAAACGACTGGACATAGCTACGCATCTCTTTGAAGCCTATAGCGCACTCTCCTGCTGTTGTATCCTTATTTGATTTGAAATTATAATTTGATATTTGTACAAACTATTGAAAAAAAGTCCCGTCTCTTCACAAATTGTAATATTGAGTGTAATGTTTCCATCAGGTTTTGCTGAGAATATTAAAAGCAGACAAATTAAACAGCTTTTATGAATGAAGGCAAATATATGTGTCCCAAGATAATGTTGCAGGATCCAATCTGGGTCAGTCACTGGGACCAGAGGTTTTGTCTTCCGAGCTTTCGGACTCATGCTGGAGCCCATCTTCAGGGAACTTTCTAGCAGAGTATTAAACAACTTTTAATAATTGCACAAAAACACCTACATTGCAGTAGCAAAAATAAGAGTTCTTCCCTTTAGAGTCAAAAATGGTACACAGGCTCTTCTGAATGGAGATACTTTTCCACTTTCTGAAACTGATCCATTTGAAAACTAAGGACATTCTTAACTGTCCCACCCAATAGTTGAAAATCTTGAAGAGCCAAGAATTTGTACTCCATAGCCTCCTTGGCTCTTTGTGACATCAAAAAAGCTGTTGTCCCTTTCTGGCAGAATGTTGTATTTCTAAACTTCAGCTGAGTACAAACTGTGACCAGCATTTTATGGATATTGATTTTGAATGCATACTGTCATTGAGGTCTTTTCACACATATAGATCAAAGACCAATGATGCCATAGTGCTTTAAGAGTTCAGTGAAAGTAAGCTCAGTTTCATCTCTTCCTTTGGAGCTAGAGGGAGAGGCAGCTATTAGAGATAATCTCCCAACTCATCCCTCTTCCTGTCACTAGGATCCTTCTCTCCCTCTAGGAAACCAAGCTCGTATAGTTTTCTGCTAAGCAGAGTCTTTTCTTTCCATCAATAAAAAGCTATTGCCATGAAATGAAAGGCAGACTACAGTATGATTTTTGCTGCTTCCGCGTTGGCTGGCTGGAAAGACCTATGGCTGGCTGAGATAAGTAGCCTTCACTGACATTCAGAATGGTGCTTGGCATTTGGATAAGAAAGTTACAGGCTTAGTGAGGAAGTGTCCAAGACTATAAAAGTCTTGAGTATAGAAATGCAACTTTAAGAAAAGTAAATTAAAAAAGAAAGAATAACTTGTGTTAAAAAAATAAATTACACCATATCAATATTGTTCAAGTGAACTCTGTAGTTTCAGAAGGTAGATATAAGAATGTAAGCCATCTTTTTTTTAGTGGACTCTTAACAATAAGTGATATAGATTCTCCCTTCTTCCCTACTGTGCCCAAAGTGTACTCTGGATAAGAGAAAAAACACAAGTGACCGAAGTTTGAGCTATACTCCCAGTAATAGAAAGAGAGAAAGAAATGATAAAGATTGTGGAATAGAGTTGCAATATTGTCTAAAATCTGAGGTAAAGAAGCTCAGCAGGTTGAATTAAGAAATTGGTTGAAAACATTTTAGTTATTCTTTAATTGCAGTATTTTAACTAATATTTAAAAGAATATGCGTAAGAAATCATATCTTACAGTCCTTTTAAATTATCTCTATATTATATGACTGCCATACATTCTACGTGGAATTATTTTATTTACGGAATTTTATTATTTTTTTATTTTTGAAAATTTATTTGGGTTTTCATAAAAACAAAATACAAATAAAACATCCTTTTTGAAAATAGCATGGTCCCAGGTTATCACTTCTTCATACAGACACTAAACTCAATTTCATGCTCATTTTTAGATTCTATTCCATATCTTATTACCATTTTATATTTTCTACATAGTTTTTCCCCTCTTTTAATTTTTTCAACTTTATTTTAATTATCTCAATTCAAATCATATTTATACTTTTGTCTGTCCTGTTTCAATTTCATATTATATTTTCTTATTAAACAAATTTTTCCCTGTAGTTACCAATTGAAGTATGACACCTTTATATCTTTTAATTTTATCCATTCAAACTCTTATTTAAGCTTCAATGTATACCTTTAAGATTATAGCATTCAATATAATACATAACTTCCAGTCGAATTCTGCTTGATACATTCTTAAAATACACACTATATTCTTTAAAAGAAAATATATATATATAAATTATATACCAAAGATCCATATATATATGTAAATAAAGCACACATTCCATTCCAATTCAATTCTATCATTAATATTCATTAAAATCTTAACATCTTTAACATTTCTTTTCAATTAAATATCATACTTCCTTGGGAACACTTATGAACTTTCCATAGTTAATTCTTTTTTTTCATATTTCTCACTTATATTTTTATAAATCATTACCAATAATTAAAAATGTTCCCATTTAATTCTCTCAATCATTTTAATTCATTTATTTATTCATTCATTTATTTATTACCAAACATTCAACTACCTTACAGTAAATATTTTATCCATCATTTTAATCATATTTTCTAAAATTATTTCTGTTTGTAATATAACAATGCTATCTTATGTACCTTTGCAGAATCCCTTTTGCAATTAAAATTTCACCCATTATCTCTAAACAAACTTATGGTTACAATCCTTATATCTTTTCCCTGTTTCTCCATTTCTTGTTTCTGTCTTTTACAGCTTCTTTTCCTTGCCTTCTTCCCCCTCTTCTTCTCCCTCCCCTTTTTACCCCCTCGTCTCTCTACTTCTAACTCTCTCATCTGTAATCCCCTCTTCTGTTGCTTTCTAATATTATACTTATCTTTCAAATTCTTCTTCTTTTTGGTTGTTTTTTCTAGTCTTAAACCTTTCACTCTCTTTCCCCCCTTTTCTTTTTTCCCCCCACTTAAAATTGTTGGTTTTTTATGGTTTTTCATCTCGTGGAAAGCGAGACTGAGCAACATAAAACAATAAATATAAAACAGTCATTTTATAGACGTAAAACAATAATAACATAATTATTTTTTAAAAAGATAAAAGCAGAACTAAGCATGAAAAAAAGGAATAGATGGAGAGATATTGATAATAGGAGAGCTACCACATATTTTCACCCATCCTCTTTTTGTCTTTGAAGACTACTAAGAAATTTCATTTGCTGGAAAATGCTGCAGATGAGAAATGTCAGGACTGCAAGGTCAGCAAAATACATTTGTACTCTTGAATACAAGTTAGCCACTAGTTTGCTTCTCTGTAAAATACAAAATGCTGGTTAAAGCTTTTAAAGCCCTTTGGGTTTGATTTATCTGTGATACTGTGTTCTCTGAATAGAGTCTGGTTGTCCCGTGCCTTCAGGTCAAGACAAAATCCCTCCCAGTCCCTTCCTTCAGGAAAGGGAAAACCCCTGACTGTTGAACTCAACTCTGGAATACCTAGTTCCCCAAGGTTAGAGTGCCCCCCACCTATTTATATTTAGAAAGGGTTGTTTTCAAAGTCTGACACGTTTACTAACAGGGCTGCTACTTGTTTCATTTAAATTTATGATTTTATGTTATTTTGCTTTCCAGTGTATTTTGATTTATCAGGGTTGTATTCATAGATTGTGTCATTGGCTAGCCAGTCGTCGGCTAGGGATGAAGGGTTTTGGGGGGAGTTGGTTTTTGTTTGTTTGTTTTGTAAATAAATTAAGTCTTAATTATAACTAAATTCAATACAGTACTTAGAACTAGTTTATTTCTCTTTGTTTTATGTTGTTTGAAAAAAAGTTAAAACTAGTAACATTCAGAGTTAACCCTTTGAAGTTAACTAAACATACTATGGTTTTTGCACATTATGTCCCAGTTTTGACTTGAGATGAAGGAGATTGCAAGCCATTTTTTTTTCTGTCAGACCTTAACTGCTTTACCTTTTAGTTATTTCAGAAGAGTTAATGATCAGTCATTTCTTACCTGGACTCAGGTGTTTAAGAAATGACATGGAAGCTCTCTCACCAGAACATGAGGTAAATGTATGAGCTTCAATTTTATTTTTAATGTTTATAAGACATAAAAAATCTATATTATTAGCATAACACTGCCAAATTAGAAATAATTTTAAGGTGAAATGCAAGTATTAAATTAATGCTAAAAATATAATCCATGAGCTTAAATTATTACGTAAAATAAAATATATCATTTTTTGATCTCACTAGTAATGAAGTATACCATAATTTCAGTTTTCATTAATTTTAAGCATTGTGCCATCAATATTTCATAGAATAGAATAGAATAGAATAGAATAGAATAGAATAGAATAGAATAGAATAGAATAGAATAGAATAGAATAGAAT